GCAAAGTATAGTAGGGAGTGAGGTGATGCCTCTGGACTATGGGAGCATGGACTCAAAGAGTAGTCCTTCTCCTTCTAATTCGGAGAATACAGTGGAGGGGGTGAGAGGGGATGAGGTGATAGAGGTAGGGGAGGAAGAGGTAGTAGGGGTTGGGGGTAATGAGGTGGTAGGGGTTGGAGGAGGTAGCATACCCATAACCGTAGTAGAAGTAGAGGGTAGGGGCAAGAGGGAGTATGATGTGAACGTCGAGATAGTGGAAGAGGTGCAGCAGTATAGGTCTGAACTAAGGACCAGGGATAGCCTGGGTCACTTAGTGGAAAATTACGAGATCTCTTCTCGAGTGCTGGTTAGGCTAGCTGGGGTAAAGGAGAGAGCGTGTTCTGCTCCTCGGGACCATTGGATGCCCATATATTCCCACTATCTGTTAGCGGGATTGAGGTTTCCAATTCCTGAGCTGTTGGTAGGATTATTATTAGATTATAAGATAGGGTTGACACAATTAGTCCCCAATGCTATGAGGGTAATAATAGGATTTTTAGTCTATTGCCGAGCTCAGGGGATTAGTGTGCCAACCGTAAATATGTTTAAGTATTTTTTTGTTTTAAAGGGGGGTAGTAGGAGGGATAAGGGGTGGTATTATTTTACCCCAAGGGTAGCCAATAGGGAGAGTAGGTCTCTATTCACAGCGGGTCCTTCATCCATTAAAGGATGGAAGGAAAAATTCTTTTTTGTGGATGATACAGAGTGGGGGATGGGGGATGAGGAGGTGAGGGAGTTAGCTTCCTGAAAGGCTAAAAGGGCCAACCAGAATAGGTTTAGCTTGAATGAGGATGAGGAAGAAGAAGTGAGGAGGTTGGTGAGGAAGAGAGGGGATTTATTGAACATAATGGACCTCATCAGCGCATAATGCATAGAAGTTGCTGAGCTCTATGGGCCAAGCGCTTTGAGTGAAGGTTGGTTTGATTCTGCATTGTAGTACTGAATGTAGAATATATAATGGTGATTAATATTGTGTATTCTTGCTTTGCAGCTGAAATGGACCAGTTTCTAAACACTGCTGGAGGAGCGGCCATCCCCAAGAAGCCAAGGAAGAAGTCAAAGACTTCAACCAAGCAAGTGGATGAGGGGAGGGCAAGGAAGGAGGTAGTGCCCACGATCTCAGCTGAGGTGGAGGAGGAGGTGCCACAGTTGAAGAGAAAGGGGTGGGAGGAGAGGAGGGCACTGCAGAAGAAGCAGAGGGTGGTGGAGGAAGAGACGGGGAATGAGGTCCCTGTGTTCGTACCTCAGCCTTCTCCTGTTGAGCTGAACCCTGAGCTCAGACAGTTGGAGGAGGGGGCTAAGGTACGAGCTCCTGGTAAGGGAAAGGGCCCTGTTCCCCCACTGGGGCCTCAGAGTAACCTGTTCGAGGCGAAGAACATAACGGGGGCTAGGTGGTTCATCAACAACACCTTCCCCGAAGTGGACCAATGCAACGCGCAGGAGGAAGCTTTGAGGTATGGTGGAGCGTCCGTGGTGAAGCACGTTCTAGAGGTATGTTAAAGTATTGATGTTGTGTAGTGAACCTGTTTCGCCTTCCCTTCGTTCTTTCTTAACTTCAGTTTTGATTTGTAGAGCGCGAGCTGGGTGAATGGTCTAGCCCAAGAATTCAGGGAGAGCCTGAAGGATCATGCACTCTTACAGAGGCAGCGGGACCAGCTGCAGAAGGAGAAGGAGGAGTTGGAGAAGAAGAATAAGGAACTGCAAGAGTCTCTGAACGAGGTGGTTCCAACTGTTTCACAGTTGGAGCAGGAGAGGGCTTCCTTGAGCACCAAGCTCGCTTTTGAGGAGAGCAAACGAAGGATCTCTTAAAGCGAGCGTGAGGCTCAGGCACAAGAAATGAAGCTGATGACAGAGGCATTCAAGGAGCTGAAGGGGAATATGCGGAAGTTGGTGCATAATGGGATGAAGGAGCACATCAGCAACTTCATCAGTTCCAGCTCGTTTGACAGCATCGTCAACTTGTACCGGCTGCCCACTGCCATCATTGCTTTCACAGACTGCAGAAAGAAGGTGAAGGCTGAATATCCTTAAGTGGATGTAACAAATATCACCTTCGGCGAGCAAGACGGAGGAGTGGAGGAGGATGGCGAGAGCATGTCAGCAGACTTCCGTCCTCAGATTAAGCTGAGGTGGGAGGATGATGCAGACGGTCTTGCTGTTTTTCCTCCACAGTTCGACTTCGAGTTCGTTGCAGTGGAGGAAGAAAGGGCAGAGGTAGAGGAGGACGAGATGGAGGGAGGAGGACGAGATGGAGGCAGGAGTGGAGGGAACTGAAGTGGGTGAGATCCAACTAGTTCTAGAAGTGGAGATTCATCCAGTTCCTTCTGACGATGAGCAGCCTCCTCTGCCAGACAAGCAGCAGCCAACACAGCCACCTCCTCCAGCTGAGCAGGAGCTAGTGGAGCCACCTCTCCGAGCAGAGAAATAATTTTGTTTTTTGATTTTTTGTAAAGACAGTTAAACAGTTTGTAATATTTATGTTATTTTGAATGAAAATTCATTTTTGAAATTATGTGTTTATTTGTGTTTGCCTGTTTATTATTATATATTGATAGAAGAATTGAGACTACCTTTAAAAAGGATAGTTAATAAAAAGAAATTAATCACTTTAGAAACGAACTCTAGAGAAGTAAACCACTTCAAGTGAATTAACAACAAGTATATCACTGTAAATGAATTGAGGGGAGATAAAGTACTTCAAATGTGAAGTGACATTTATTAACAGGAATGAGGTTCAAGGAATGAATGAGCTGATTGACCTCAGATACATAGAATAAGAGGTAAAATGAATCTCTATTAACACGAAGTGAGAAGCGTAAAGAACAGCAAGACATAGATCTCTTGAAAGAATTTTATTAGGGGTAAAACTTCTTCAAGTTATTGA